CCCCCCCCTCTATCTATCAAAATACCTTCTCTCAATAATATCAATTAATTTTTTAAGGTACAGTGGAACCCAAAGACGACGACCAAGAAGCTTTGGGACAACAGAAAAGTAACTAAACAATGAATGAATCGAAAATTGACAAGGAACAGATGTAACTAGAAACAATCACCCCTCCTTCCCTAGTCCACTCCCTTAGGTCAGCCTTACTACRGAACTAAATTTTTGGCTGCAAGACTTCAATTATGAATTTTCACTTTATTTCTGAATAATCCATCTTACTATTCCAATTTAAGTTTTGTACATTAGTTTTGTACAATGCACTTTCGGTTGCGTAGCTTACTTCCGGCACGGATCAAATTACTTCCCTTGATCGACGATCACACTTTTTGCGACATGAGGAATACCAGTCAGCGCAGTATCGACAGTTGGAGCCATGGCAAAAGCGTAGACACCAGCCAAGATTTTCGTAGCAGTCGTAGTGACAGTGTTCTAGGGCCGTCAGCGCATGCGTGGTGGAAGACAAGATGGTAGTCATAGCAACCAGGAACAGCACAAAAGCAAACGTCGTTTTCATCTGTATATTGAAGGAGGAATGTCAGCCTCGTATTATATTTTACTATTTGAAATGAATCGTGGAAAAACTTAACACTAGCAAAAAGACTGAAAAGAAATCAACGATCAATTTAAACAAGGTTTCAAAAAGTAAGCAAAAGAAACCAATGATCAGGTTTCTTCGAAATACACAGAATTAGAAAATTCATCGGGTATCAAGTATTCAAGTATCCTTGAATTTTCTAATGATAAACTTGAAATTATTTCGAGCAGTTACTGAAACATTTTTAATCAGAAAATCTTTAAAAGGAAATAAAACTAAATATGTTATAGCGAGTCTTGTATGTATGCAGATGGTGAACATTATTTCAACTCAAAATCCTCACTTTTCGATTATCCTGTAGGGCTTACGCGGTAATCGGTTACAAAATTGACACCTGCATTTGTGTAATATTTTCGAAACGATATTGGCTTTAAAATATTAAAGATATAAAAAAACTATCTTCATACCTTACTTCAGGAGTCGGGAATAAAAACAATCGAACGGTGTTGAAGTCCTGAATTAACTACTTGAACTGAAAACTGCTTCAAAGTGGTCGAACTTTATTCACCTCTGCTTGAATTATCACTCTTTTCGAACGGATATTTACATTTTATTAGCTTAACTTTAAACTATTAATTAGCAGTATTTCGAGAGGTTATCCTAAACATTGGAAAAGGGATATTCTTTTTGTTTGCTTAGTTTTTCCGCACGAATGCAAACAAATGTAACAAAAGAGAATTGCCGTGTCGAAATTAGTAATGATTGGGGGGAATGATAAAAAGGCGTTATGAAGCAAAATTTGTATAATTATCCTCTGCTTTAGTTTCCAGGTAAATCTTGGAATCGCTTTTTCCTTTCTTGCTTGCTTTCTTTTTTTTCTATTTTTCTTTTTTTTTCTTTTTCTTTTTTTTTTTTTTTTTTTTTTTTTTTTTTTTTTTTTTTTTTTTTTTTTTTTTTTTTTTTTGTTGTTGTTGTTGTTTGATTGTTGTTTTATTTTGAAAGATTTGTTTTTGCTATGAGTATTTTTTTTCCTGATTTCGCTCTGCTCGTCGACATCTTACTCCTGTCCTTAATTTGGTTAAAACTATTTTTTCCCCCTCTTTCCTATTTCTTCGAATTCTGCTCACTCTATTGTTATCTAGTCACAGTTCACTGTTTTCATTTTTTTTTTTTTTTTAATCATTTAAAGTAAAGTAATTAATACCTCCACTTTTTTGTGCTAAATGACAAAGGTTAAGGTTATGACATTTCTATCTCGTTGACACTAGGCCTGAAACAAAAAGAATCCGGAAGAATCATTCTATCTAGTGTGTTTGCGTTTTGTTATGACTATAATGCGGACTGAATCCGTAGTTAAATTTATAGGTCAACACGGAAGTTAGCTCTGTAGAACCGTCTTGCGAGCGCAAATTGGCCATTGTTTATACATAAGCGGGGGGGGGGGGGGGGGGGGGAAAAAAAAAAAAAAAAAAAAAAGGGAAAGGAAAGAATAGATAAACCAGTATGAAAAAGGAAATAAAAGGAAAACATATATAAATACTTCAGCAATTTTATTCCAGATTCGGCACTTCAGATTTTAAATAATTATTATCAAATAGGTAAACGTCTGCAGTCATAAATATAAAATTGTGTGTTCGATTCCAAAGATCGGGCAATAAATTATCGATTGATACAATCCATTATATAAACTGATAGTTACAAACACCCTGTCGATTCACACGTATAAAATGAAATATTTTGTTCCAAAGTATTAAAACTCCTTATAAATTATAATATGGTTCTCAATAGGACGTTTCCATGATGGCGTCATTTGACTCCCACTACCAAGATGCTTCGCGATTTTTCTTTCTTATTCAAATTTGTATTTCCTCATGAGAATAGTAAAAAAATTGGTGCTAAGTAACTGGACAAAAGAAAGTATGTAAGGGAGTCTGGTAGTAGAGGTCAATGACGTTATCGTGCAAACGTCCTATTTACAGCCGGTTCAACCGACAACGATTCTCGATTCTAAACAACGTATTGGGATCAAATAAAGGTATAAGGTTACCCTCCAGTCGATCACTAACAGGACAAGATATTACTGCATACCATGACCCGAACCCATATTAGCTGTCTCTTGCCATTGGGAAGAATACAAATTTTGAGTCTCCATGTAAGGACACAGATTTTATTGTTCATACAGACTGATCGTCGTTGAACATGTGAAAGACCTGAAACAGAACAACACGATTTAGACTTCAGTATATGGAATTATGTCCTGCGCAGTGGTGCCGCAATCATTTCGCACAGTGGTTTCTCATAGGAAATAGTACTTTAATTTTTTCCTCTTTTTCTATATTTATTTCCAATATACTTTCAAAAAAAACAGCTTCAAAGTATCCAGACATAGACAGAAGTTGATATTTGTAGTTATGAACTTCTGACGAAGACCATTCTCACCTGTGTCACGTGACTGTCTCACCGACCCAGTGTCCTCGATCTTTTGTATCCAGTAGATTGAGCTTCGAGCACACAACACAGCCATTTCGTCACTAAGAAGAGATCGCTGGGTGAAAACTGCGTCCACTTTCCAGGTTGTATTTTCTACCTTTATATTGGTATTATTGTCTTCAACAATGGTTTGCTGTAATTCCAAACAATCCAACAGAAAAATACAGTTATTACAAACGACTTGGGCATTCTTGTTGACAAATTCGATTCATTCATTGACTAAGGAATACTTACGTTTTCAAGATCTGTTTTGAACTCGTCCGGCAGAACTGCTGATATCATTTTGAAAACGTAGCAAATATTCTTTGCTTTGATGTGAATCGCAGTTAAATTCTACATAGGAAACAAGAAAATGGCTTAGTTCTATTTGAGAGCTAGTGATTTTTATTTGTTATTCTATTCTTGTTATTATCATCTTTATCAACCGTGAAATTAGGTACATCAAATCGAAACTCAAATGATAAATAACAAATTATTTATAAGCAAAAAATATGATTATAATCAATAGTTTAAAATATTTTTTGTAGCACTGACTTATTTATCATCTCTTATAACATATTGCAGCTAAACAGAATGAGCTTAAAAATATTAACATTATATCTTTCTATTGAATCCAATATGATTTTGCTATGATGCAGTAGAAAAGGAATCTCATTCAGGCTCGATATCATTTAGACTTTTTTTCGTCAATTTTCCTTTGTGGGGCATAGTAATATAGTGCCAGGCACGATTCGCCAATATCTTAGTTATATATAACTATTTTACAAAATAAAAGTCCCCCTTAGATCATTTCATGGTCAAATAAGCACTCACCATTGAGTAGTCTTCCAGGACTTCAAATTCTTCTGAATCGCCATGTTTCGGTACGCTAAACAACTCAGTTTTAGCTTTTGTGTTGATCTCAAGCTTTTCGTGCAGAATTCGGCCATTTCCTTCGTTGACTTGCATATCAAACTTGAAAAGAATCTGCAAATAATGACAATATTAGAATTAAACTTGCTTGCTGCTAGATTGAAGAGTTTTTATTTACATCAAAAGTTCATAGCTCCTTCATGATCGTTGGCTACTACATGTACTAGTATTTGCCGAAACGAAAGTAACTATGACAAAGCTAGCTGGGTCCATGAACTGCAATCTATGTCCCAAACCCACCATTCTTCAGAACTTCAGTCGAGTTTTCTTTGATGAGTATAAAGTGTCCTAATAAGTTTATTTGTTTTATTTTACCTTATTTCGTGGTGGTTTTATCCCTTGTGAGTCCACAGATAAAGTAGTTGGAGCAGCTTTCGTGTCAAAAACACCAGCACATAAAATCAAAACCAGTAAACCTTGCAATTCCTGTCAACAAAAATGTTTAAATAAACGTTCTTGTAGATAAATTTTGCACATTATCATAACGACTTTTATATCTTTCGCCTTTTACTAAAGCATCATTGCTTTCCCCAAAAAAGATTTTTGTCTTCACAGAAAGCTAACAAAACTACGCTTAACGTCTTTAACTCAAAAAATCAAATTTTCACTTAGTTGTCGTTTGCGAACAAACTTACCATTTTTTCTTTCTTTTCACCGTATGCACTACTATTTCCAATATTACCTTTGAAGTCAGTAATGTTCTAGACGATGTTTGAGCAAATTTGTGAATTTTTACTACAGCTTCTACTCATTTTATCTACAGCTCTTGCTATTATTAGACTTCTAATCATATCAAGGAAAACCCCGTTTTCGACCTTTCCTTCTACAACTGCAGCATTGCTGTCTTAGGCGATGGTTTCAAATTGGAACGGAAGTCTAAGAGATTTTACAGTTATGCATATTCGATCGCGGAGAAAACGCGACGTCACCACTTACGATAACCGTAATGCTATGCCAATCTGAAGAATGCTGGAAGCCAATACGAACAAGAGTTACAATCACCATTTGACTTTGATGTTGATGATATCTCTCAGTCTCAGCACAGTTTTTTTGACTTTGTCTTGATATGTATTTTCGGTGTTTATCAAAAATTTTAAGCTTGTAACGGCTCAGTAAGTTTTTCTTCAGGTCATGACTTTTAAAACACGTACTGATATGACTGAGAAGGTTTTATTATATTCGGTTTTGTTTCTAAGCGGCCGATCAATATTGACATAGGACTGTGTTCGCTGCAAGTATCGATCAACTTCTATTTTGTTTACTTTCACTTGATTTGAAAAGACGTTTTTATTTTGTATTTATTTAATTTCTGATTTTTTAGTTTTCTTGTGTTTTCTTCATTCTACTTGTTTTTTCGCCCCAAATATGTCAATTCTTTCACGAAATAGGTGCTATACAACAAAAATTAAAGAACGCCATTTCGAAATATAATTGGTTAAAGCTTACAGGCCAACTTTGCATTTCGAAACTGCGTGCATGAGTACTCTTTCAGAAAAAATTCCCTTAAATTTCACACTAATATATGTTTCACACATATTGATCCCAGACACTCTCTAACGTTAGATAACTAGCACGATCTACGCCACGCGCTTAATCAATGTCACAAGCAGAGAACATCCGTAAATAAAACCTACGTTGATATAGCATGCAAGTTCTAGAGTTTCGATCTAGTCTATTTAGAGAGTCTTCATTAAGCCTTTCAAATGAAAAAAAATTGCAATACTTTGACGGATAAGAATAAGCTTTAACACTGATATGTATACTATAAAACAAGGAAAAAAACTATATTTATTCTTTTTTTTTAGCTACATTTATTTACTTCCTTTTACTTCCTTTTTTATTTTCCGCAAATCGTGAAACTTTGTTAAGTAGTTTATTTTTATATATCCGGAGAGCTGAAAGACTGAAAAGTTAGTTACGTAATTTTAGTCTCAACACAGCGAATGATTAATATTAATTTTTTAGTTTGCTCGTGTGCTTTCATGTGGTTCGTATCGCTGAAACTAGAGCTGGTAGGCGAACTTGATCTCTGAGATTTGATAGTTATCTTAAAGCCCTCCTTTAATAAGAGTTATCGTTAAAATATGCAAATCTCTCAGTTATGTACCGGTAGTTGGAAAATTCCGCAATGCATAGCACATTTCATAGCACTTCCTCATTCCTTCAAGAGGTCTTCACTAGTCATTACGTACTAGTACTTTAGTTGCCATTGATTACTTTGGTCAAGGTAGCTGACTACTTTAGCAAATTCAATTAGGAATCTTTCTTAAAATGCGATATTAATATTTATACAGAATTCAACGCTGATTTAATAGAAAATTTTCCTTACCGGAAGGCAGGATACCGGAGGCCTGTCTATAAACGCGTGTCTTTCGTAGAATCGCTTTGATCAAGTCAACAGCACAGACGAGTTTAATATGAGAGAAAAAATGAATAGTTACAGACGAACAAAGCAAGATAAAGAAAACAAGATGAATATTATCAAAGTCTGTCGGATATATAGAGATTATCGCATGTTAAGAGCTTGATATCGTTTTTATTCACGAGTTTGCTTATCATATCGCGAGCGAGCGAGTTAGTGGTGATATCATATGAAAAACGAGTGAATATAAAAGATATCAAGCTCTTAACATGTAATAATTTGTTAATTGTACATTTAGGGTCGATAAAATGACAAAATTAAATGAGTTTCCAGTTTACCGTGAAGTGATATCGTATCACTTCACTGATATGCGTTTTTATTAACAGCTTTATCAGACTGATATCGACCCTAAATGTGTAATAAACAAAAATATCGATATAATATGGCCGCCATCACGCACAAGTTAGATATTGGTATAAATTAATTGAATTCACAAGTAATCTTCTTAGCTCATTCCATTAGTTTTTGTACCTCTGGTTACGCCCTATACAGTTTATACAAGGGAAAATGAACTAAGAGAAGGAATCCCCGTGCCCCATCATGTGCACACTTTGATGCTATTTTTAGAATCATTGATGCTATTTTTAACTCGTTACCATGCCCGCGCGATAATCATGCTTCCCTTTAATGCCTCGTTTTAGGACACGAAAAGCGCCATATTTCGCTACGTTTACGAAAAAAACACAGGCTTTGTTTATTGCAAGACTGGAAGCCGCCTACCCTCAAGAAATCAACCAATCAGGTTCTTCGCTCAAAATATCTCCAAGCTAAAAATAGCATCAAACTGCGCACATGATGGTTACAAGGCTATATAGGTAGGATTCCTTCTCTTAGTTCATATTCTCTTGGTTTATACCCCTTTGCTCAATTACTCGTTTAGGATTATTCTTTAGAGTCTTATGATAGAAATGTTCCTTGTAATATTTTCTATACATTTACGATCGATATATTCATATATTAGCTTTAGTTTCAGCCATGCTTAATTCTTAGATTTTCACTCGAATTACTCGTCGTTAGAATATCGCACTAGGAATTTACTTATTCTATGAGCCAATCATAATTTGACGATTATATCACATCGATTAGAGATTGACACCTGTCATAGAATCATTATAAATATAGCTCATGTACTCAGTCTAGTAGAGTACTGAGTAGAGTTGGAGCCAATAAAGATCCCGAAGCTTCTACCGAGAGCGTTCGTCCATCAACAAATCCTTTTCCATGAGATTTTAAGACCATTTACAGTATCCTTTGGTACTGATGGCAGATGGTATTACGAGTCCCACGTACATTAACGTCATACGAAACCCAAAGGACTTTGCCGTGTCTTGTTATTATCATACTAATATCAATATTTTCAAGATGGCGGCGAAAACGAGAGAGACTGTGGAGACTATTAAAAATAATTATTTATAGTGGAGGGGAAAAAATTCGATAACCCAGTGAAAATGCGTCCAAATGTCTTCAAACTCGGACAAGTAATAAAAGACACAACAAGTTATCAAGGTAAGTCGTTTTTATTCAAATAAACTGCAATTTAAAGGATTCGAATTTTGACCGTTAATCGCTCACATTCAAAGCTGTTATAAGCACTGTATTGCAGTGCTTGGGCTGCCTGTGGAAACGGGTAAGGTGTGATATCAAGTGATGTAAGGAGCCTGGGGGAGATCACTATTTTGATTTTTATCATTATTTTGATATTATGGCTAATTGTGAAGTAGAGACGAAAATTACCAAACAACGACCAAAGTATTACCTTTCCTCGAAATTTCCTGTCGTAGATGGASTTCATTACTTCCCTGGCACAACCAAAGAGTTTCTACAGCAAATTAAAAATCTTCGCCTACAAGGAGACGAAGTGATAGTGGTCTCATATCCCAAGGCAGGCAAGTAGCTAGGAATCGAATAATATAATCAGGGCTTACCATAAACCACGAAACGAAACGAAACGAAACGAAACAACAAAATGCGAAACGAAGATTTCGCATTTTACAGATCTTTAAATGCGAAACCGTCATTTCGCATTTTACAGATCTGTAAAATGCGAAACGACAGACTGTAACCTGAGGCTTTGCGATCCCATGTTTAACTGTAAGCTTACTCACGAAATTAGATGAAAACTGTGTAGCTCCATGTCTTAGAAAATTAGAGATTACTTTGAATCTCAGTGGGAAGAACAGTGTAAACTTTCCATGTACCAAAAGCCACAAATTATAAACTATATTGAAATACTTCAACTCGTGTTGTTGTGGCGCCATTTTGAATGCACAGGGACCCCAATCGAATCATAATATATGACACCAGAGTAAAAAAATTAGCGCCAAAGGTTTTACTTTTAAACTTCTTTCAATGAGGTAAGAGAAGTATGGCGTTTAAAATTCTTTGAAGCGTTTTCCTTATGTTTTGCCGTCGAGTTATAACAGTCTGGTGCGTCTGGTGCTGAATAACAGCTGTACTAGAAAAATGTCATTAGCATGAATATCACTTTGAGTATCAATTTTGACTTAACCACATGTTTATGTTAGTTATGCATAGTTTGTGCTGCATGCTTTTCTGAGAGAAAAAACTAAAAATAAATTGAATCCTTTTCTCGCTTTTCTCTTTGTGGGCTTCCTTTGTGCTGAAGCGTGATAAATGAAAATGTTATTATTACACTACACCAAGGTACACCCGATATTTCCAGACATATCTAATGAGACAACAGATAATGACTGTCTCGATTCAAGATGGCCAAGCAACTAGAAAAATCACTAGAAATTTGCTATAATAATCATAAAGTTCTACAATGTTAAAGCATGTAGTGTATGACAATGTTGTGATTGTTGTTCTAAAACTGACAAATACACAGTATTAGGATAATTTATACAATTTAAGCCCTACTTTCAGATTACTAAGTAAAAGTGTCACCCAATCCCCTCATAAACACGTGAGGTGGTTACCTGTGATGTCAAGCGGAGAGTTAAACTTCTTTACAAACCTCAAGTGTTGTTGAAATTTGCTGTATCATGCGTTACATATCTCTCGTAAAAATTTGTTATGCATTAGTAAAGCGAAGATAGAACTTTCTAGTGGGTTTTTCAATCGACGTTTGGCACTATTTAGTTTTATACATGACACTTTAAATAAACTGAAAGATTACTGAACCCAAAACGTTTTCCAATTATTACAGTAATACTAAAGTTACTTTATATGCATATCTTTAAGGGGAAAAACAGCTACAAAACCCACCTGCTTTACTGTAAAAGAAAAGGCTTTTAACAGTCTTGCCTCGTCCTTTACACATCACTCGAGCTCTTCTCGTCGTGAAACCGCTGACCAATCATCATCATCTTCTTCTTCCGCATCATCCTTATCATCATCATCATTGTATTCATTGTTGTCATTGTCATTGTCATTACTATGATTATGATTATTATCATCATTATTATTAGGTAACACATGGATATCAGAGATTATATGGCAGATTTTCTCAGATGGTACGGTCGATATGACGCCTATTCACCAACGCATCCCATTCATGGAAAGTACGAAAATTTTCGGCACATTCGCTACAAATGACAAGTTTATTGAGCATTTCTTGAACAAGCCTTACCCAAGAGTTTTCAAAACACATTTACAGTATCCACTCGTGCCAATGGGGGGAGGAGGTCATCAGATCACACCCAAGTATATTAACGTCATAAGGAACCCGAAGGATTGTGCAGTGTCGTTTTATCATCATACGACGAGCTGGAGATATAACGAGTTTGATGGCTCATGGGATGAATATTTTGAGGCGTTCATCGATGGCGAAGGTATTAGAGCTTCTGTGCATGACATTTAACGATACCATAGTAGTAGTTTGTTTCATGCAAAGGTTTCGAACTAGGCAGTCGGGGAGGGGGAGGGGGGGAACCTTCAAATTTCATCGACCTGAAACAACCTCTGGACTGATGTAAGTCAGGGCGCGACTAACTTACAGATCGAATTGGAATTTATCATGCATGCTCAGAACTGACTAAAACACCCCGGAGAAAAACCCTTGAGAGAGACCTGCTCCCATGGGAAGTCCAGGAATCAAACTCTGAGATGAGAGGCGAGTTACGTACTGGCTTAGTTCGGGCTTATCATTGCACTAAGTTAAAAGTACGTTCACTCAGTAGCCCTTACGAGGACAGCAGGCCGCCTAGTAAAATCTCCTTTCCCTCCCCACCCTCCCCCCTCCCCCCGGAGGTTTTTTACTCGGTAATATGGTTGAATGGAGAATGTAGGCGGTCTTAGTCGAAAGTCAATCTTGACAACTTTTCTTAATGTTGATTTATATGGTAGTAAAGTTTGGTTCTTGGTTTGATCACGTGCTTGGGTGGTGGGCGCATCGTGACGACCCTAACATTTTGATCCTAAAGTACGAGGAGATGAAGAAGGTATGCTTGCTATAATGAATATTAATAATATTATATTAATATTTATCAGACAGTAATAGATTGATAAGAATGGAATTATATTTCATTCCTCAGGAGTTGCCTTCTGGCGTGAAACAAATAGCAAAGTTCGTTGGCAAAGATTTGTCCAATGAGACGATTCAACTCATCGCAAAACAAACTTCATTTGAAGCCATGTCGGCAGGCGATGGAAGGTTCTACGATGGTGATGAGGGGTTCATGTCAATCATAAAACCAAACACGCCCAAATTCATCCGAAAAGGCGAAGTAGGAGACTGGAAAAACTACTTTACTGACGAACAAAATCGACGATTTGACGAGCTGTACGAGAAGAAAATGGCTGGAAGTGGACTAAAACTAGAGTTTAGTTGAAGCCGACTAAATGAAAAAAAATCCCGAACACTTAAGCCTCGAAGAAAGGGCGTGCTTGTAATTTGATAAATGTAAATATACCTATTTCAAAAAACGTTGTCGGTCGAAGATCTGAAATCTGGGACCGAAATGAATTGTGGGCTGTGAGCTTTTAAATCAAAAACGAAGGAAAATGAATCATTTTCCAGTCAGTAGCTCACAACAAGTTAATAGGGACCTTAAGCTGCAGGACGGCAACGACGACGACGACGGCAACCATACAATAGCACTAATTGCGCTATTCAATAGATACTCGTTGGAATGTACGAAATACTGTGCTTTATTGCCGTCTTATGCAGAAAGTAAGACGTGAAATGTCCTATTTTTACGTGGTAAAGAGAACGGCTACGCCAAAAGCGTATCTTTGCTAATTTTTGTTATAAGTAGAGGGCTCCCAAAAGACGTCATTTCACTCTAAAACGGGGATGCTTATTGAGTAAAATACTAGGTAAACACGAAATGRTAATACAACAGAAGGTTGAAGCGCCTCAATTTCGCCGACGTTGTCGCCCACGTTGCCGTCCTGCAGCTTAAGGTCCCTAACATCTAAATAAACAACCACCAATTGGCGATGTATTTTGAATTTTGAATTGTAAAAAAGAAGTTTTTCTAGCCTCCCATCATTCATTTCGGTCACAGATTTCAGATCTCCGAAATAGGTGTATGCTATATGAAAATTGAAACCCCTACGACAGTAAATAGCATGAACGATTTGTTCATTTGAATTTGAAGTCTTGTATTAAAAAAACGCTGACAACGTTTTAACGCTGACAACGATTTATCGACTAGAAACGTTCGAATATTATGTCTGGTTTTATCTCGAAAAAAAATGTTCCCAATTTCAGCAGAAGAATAAATCTAAAAATATGCTTCCGAAGTACACTAGCATTGTCAAAATGTTGTAATGTTCCTAATATATAACTGTTAATATCAGATTAAAACTAATGGATAAGATATCTTAACATTAACCCTAATTATGATGACAGAAAAGATAGATGGATCAAATATATATATTTTGGTAGTGGAAGTCATTTTATGGAAAAAAAATCTTTAATTTTCCAAAACGACCCAGGCCTGAACAACTCTGTAGCAGAAATTTGACAGAGACATTTTGTCTCTTATTACAGCTGAATAAACTTAATTTATCATCCTACAAAGCATCATGAAAGAAAGCTGAATTAATTGGACATTTCTCAAAGGAAATTGGTAATCTAAAATCTTGTAATATACATGGCAATCCAATCTTTCGGCTCAGCATGTAGCTAGTGTCAGTCCAGACTTTTAATATGAATTCGTTCCTGACAGTCGATGAGTTCATCTTCGTGTCCAAGTTTAGTCCAGTATTGTACGGTACGTAATCGTAACCGTTTTAGCTCTCTCGTGTGCTTTACGGATTCAGTTTCAACTGGTTTGACTTCTGCTTCTTTCTTTCACCCAAGAATCCATCCTAGTAGAAAATAGAATCCTCGAGGTAAGTTTGCTAGACTTTAGCAAAGTTCGTCGCCTTCTGTGTATTTATGCATGGGCTCAACAACAAATTCTCGCTTCGTTGGAATTAAAAAATCTCTCGAGAGACGAGAGAGGTCATTTTTTCTCATAGTTAATTGAGCGGAATGGTTTGGAAACCTATTGTTATAGGTTTTTGTTTATCATTTTTATATGACGTTGACCGTGCACAGAGAAGGAAAGGTGGCACCATTTGTTCACGGCATTAGGGGATATAGAAGTTTTTCCCCCTAAAAAATCGTTCTAAAATAGTTAGTATTTGTTAATTAATCCTATATGATTAATATTAGTTGTTTATTGAAAAGGAAATTGCCCTTTTTAATGCTATGCTTTCTCATTTATCATCTAGTAACTTAACTGTATCTGCGTGGAAATATTTATACGCATGGTTTTTGGTCATCGAATGAAAGTTTTCACTTGTTAATACATGAAAATAATAACGAAATGAGTATTTTTAGCCATACTTGTTTTGGCTTGTGCACGGTCAGTATCACGTGATGGTACGGTTCAACCTCAAACGCAAAGCAATAACCTTGTTCCGGTGGAGTTTCCAAACCATTCCGCTCCATTAACTATGGTTGTATGAACAAGGGCGCCAGGACAGACGGATTGGGTTTTAGATGTATGTGTGATTGTTTCAGTTATTCTAATTGAATTGATATACGTTTGTTTCTAAATGGATACTAAATAGTGTTCACTTATCTTTCCATCCAACTTTCTTTCTGGTTTGAATCAGCCGTACGATATGAATATATTTACCACGTCCACCAACGGTCTTCGTAGTTTGAATCATCTGTAAATAGGTCTTTTTTACTGTACTGAAGGTAAATTTGATTTTAAAACTTATTAAAGGTGAGTATTATCGCTAACAAAGCGACGCCGACGCTGCTTGGCACGGATAGTGCAGCGGTAAATACTCAGAGCGTACGGCTGATTCAAGGCCAAAAAGACCGTCGGTGGACGTGGTAAATATATTCATATCGTATACGGCTGATTCAAAACAGAAAGACCGTTGGTTGGAAAGGACGTTTATTTTTAAAGATAAGTGAACACTATTTAGTATCCATTTAGAAGCAAACATATATCAATTCAATTAGAATAACTGAAACAATCGCACATACATCTAAAACCCAATCCGTCTGTCCTGGCGCCCTTGGAATGAACTGTAAGATATTAGCACAAGTTAATAACCTTTACATCCTGGACAAAAATGTACACATAACAGAAATTTATCGTTAAGGTGTAATAGTGAAATATACACGAGAGAAAACAATGGAAATGAGATCTACTAACCACTAGTGTAAGGAGGGGGTGCACCCCACCCCGTCACAAAAAAGTTTGCTTTGTGCACCAACATTTAATAGCGCAGCGCATTGATTCTAAAAATAGCTTAAAGATTCGGACAAACATTGCATTCTGTTTAACCGCTACGAGGATTATACGAACCGATTTTATTATTTTTACTTAACGATACAATAATAACCCATGTAAACTAAGATCAACTGCGATCGGCTGTGAAAATTATCTGCTGAAAGTAAACTTATAAGTTTGTTTGTCCGAATTTCGCCTTTGTCTTCGTTTTTATGACGTCACAGTTGCGCTGCGCTATTAGGTGAGATTGGCAAGAAAATGGTAAATAAGTAAAACCATTCTGATTTGGTGGTAAATGTTTTAGTGATAATGTTTTCTCCTTGCGTTCGTTTAAAGTTTGAAGCTGTCAATTTTTAGATTACAGTCTTAATGTTCATTTTTTTAAACAAAAACAGTTAAAATATACTTATTTTTTCAAAAGGTTTTTCGGCACCTGCTCAAGTCAATTAAAACTTTTATGTTCAACTAAAAGTCCTATATATTGACAATGTGGGCTGTTTACATCTGTGCGTTGGCTGCCATTGTCATAATAACAGGCAATCTTGCTGTCATGGTGATATTTACTCGAACACCTTCACTGCGCATGCGCAAGTACTATCTATTGATCAGCCTGTCAGTTGCTGATTTCTTCGTGGGTTTGATATCAGTACCGTATTACCTCGCGTTGCTTGTCCACTCACCTTTGTCGGAAGCTTCTTATCTCGTATATACAGTTCAAGACATCTTATTTGGAACAGCATCAGTGTTTGGTTTGACAGCCGTGGCGATTGAACGAGCGTATGCCGTATATTTCCCGTTCAAACATCGTACACTTTGGAAAGGTGCGTACATGATTGGCATAGCAGTAGTATGGCTTGTGGCAATACTATTCGCTTTTATTACAACTTCTGAGTATGCAATCTCAATCATATATCCAACATCTGCCTCCATCTTGATCTCTCTTCTCGGCATCATAATCTCCTATGTCCTTATATGGATTAAGATGCATTGCATGACAAACATGGTAAGTCACGCAATCCAGAAGCGTGACAAGAAAATGACCGTCACCCTTCTGATCGTTACTATTGTGAGCCTATTAGCCTGGATTCCATTCCAAGTGGTAACAGTTTACGCGATAACCTGTGGAAGCCTGTGTCTGCATGACAAAGAAAAAGAAATTATGATAACCAAAGTTTTGCAGTACAGCAACTCTCTTGTGAATCCTATCATCTATGGTCTTCGAGTTCCTCAGTTCAAAAGAGCTCTTCTCAAGAGGTTGCTGTGTAATCGTGATTTATCTGTAGAAGTTGGCCATGAACTGGCAGCACGCAATCGTGACCCACCAAGCGTTGTACCGATTAATACAAATGATAACATGACGAGGATCGACTGATCTAAAGACGAACACAAATAAGAAAAAACTACGACTTTTCTGCTATAGAGTCAGAAGTGGGATAACCAACAGCATTGTTTGCCCATGAAAAGACGGAAGCAATAGACGCTAACCCTGATAACGTCTCATACCCAAACTACCAGATCTTTTTCAAAATATATCTTCATATTCAAATGTCCTTTGAAAATGCCTAGACAATAGTGAATGATTCAGTAGCATTAAAAAAAAAAAAAAAAAAAAAACTACCGAAAAGGATTCTGCAAGTGTACGGGTATATAACGTCATCATGCTTGAGGTCTATCGTAAGAGCGCTAGAAA